ATGGACCGCAAGCGCCTGCAGAGAGTGGTAAAGACTGGAGAAGATCACCAGGACTCCACTGCCCTCTCTGCAGAGCATTTACCACCACAGGGTGTGTAGGAAAGCTGCCTCTATCCTCAAAGACCCCACCCACCCCCAGCAAGGACTGTTCACGCCCCCACTCTGCGGTTGGAGGCTCAGAAGTGTGAAATGCAGGACCTCTAGACTGAAAACCTCTTTCTTTCCCTTTGCCATCAGACTCCTAAACAGGATCTACCTCATATAATTCCATCTGTACTGTTTACACACTCACTTTACACATGCATAATTAACACAAACTGCTGAATATTTGCACTTCACGGCTCCCACGTAGCATATATTCTCTCTGCATTATATTGTGTTCTTGTTGCTTTAAAGTGTCTTAGATTTGCATTACTACCTATTTTGATGTATTATTGCTCATTTACTTTATGTTTCACTTCTATTTTGTGGCATTCATGTGGACGGCAAAGTAAGAATTTCATTGTACAGGGAAACATGATTCCTAACTGTGCATATAACAAATAAACACTTTGACCTTTGACCTAACATGCTACCTGTGAATATGAGCATATTAACTTCATCTATCTATCTATCTATCTATCTATCTATCTGATAATTTAATTTTGTCAGCTTATGATCAACTAGGTAGTCACAATTTTAAAAACTGTAGTTACAATAAGCACTCAACATCTAATATAACTCAAAGCGCAAGAATACTGCCCAACAGTCAAGCAGTAATATAATAACTATACATTTCATAATGCAGTCTTATTTGATAACCTTAACTTTACAATATACAGCAACCTATGAGCATTCATTTAAAGCCAAATGATAGTGTTCTATCAGGATCAGCTTCCCTGGCCGAGTATGTTAATGTAAGGAAATTGATTCATGGCAGTTCAGACTGTACTTACATATAGTAGCACATCATTTGCCTGAAAAAAACACCTTAGATGAGATCTGGCACTTTGCTAGTTGCAGTTGAAACTGGGTGGCTTCTTAATGTGATGTGTAAGAAGAAAAGTTCACTGTGCTGTTTGAATGTTACAGAAAATCAGTTTTACTTTATGTTCTGTTGTCCTGTTTATTGGGAGTTGCACAATACCTGGTTTAGTAACATGAAACTAAAATAGATATTGATTTTGTACTGTAAATATAGATCTTGCAAAAACACTGAGGCGGTTGTTTATATATGAAAAAGTTAACAGAATTACAGTGACTGAGACAATTGGAGCTTAAGGCATGGATGAGACTAAAAATTTTACTCTAGACAGGAGCCACAACTGAAAGAAGTCAAAGCTGACCACGGAGTTTATTTGTTTGTCCAATTTCAAGTCTCTGTCCTTAATGAACCCCATGTCCATCACAACCACCACAACCATGTACTTACTACAGTCACATAAACACTACATCAAACAACTAATCACCCAAATAACAAATCACCTCATACAGAAGAAGTAAAATGCCACCTTACCGGGACATTAAGGCAAATATTACAAAACAAACAAAATTCCTTATGAGATTCAAAACACATTCCATTTTCATACTAAAACAGTCCTTTCCATAATAACTTTTGTATCATTTCCATCTTTATGTGTCCTGTGATCACTTTCATCCAAATTCCAAGAAAAAGGGTAAAAGATCCGATTTTACATCCTCTTTTCTTTTTTATTTGCCTACACCATTTAGCATTAGATGCAAACAAATTCCCCTAATCTACAAAGATATTGGTTTAACAACAGTTTAACCCCAGCTTTATTTTCTTGAACAATATGTGCTGGCAATGAATTCCACTCCACATGACTATGGCTCTGTACACTACAGATTTTTGTATAATACTTGATTTCACTTTAGGGATCATAAATCTTGTTTCTTAATTATCTTGAGGAGACTGAGAAAATAACTGTTCATATAGTAGCTTTGATGAGCTTGTCACCATTATATTTTTACTTCAATTTAAAGTGTAGGTGGAGTTCTGTCTGATCGTGAACCAGCTCAGGTTGTTATGAATAGTTTTTACATTATATTTGTAAGAATACTGCAAAACATAATGTGCAGCTTTATTCTGAACAACTTCCAACTTCTTTATACCAAAGCATGAGACCAAATCACAAAACAGTATTATGTCATTTTAAAGTGAATTTGGTTTCTTTGAACTTACTCAAATATGATTTTTGGTGGTTTAAGTTAATTTTAACTATAATATGGTGGCCTCCTCTGTTTTTTAGAGACCTCAAAAAACAGAAGGGGCAGCAAATCACAGAAATTATAACCATACAGTACATTACACTTTGCAAACAATACTTTCTGTGGCATGGATTACAGTTCTGATGGCGCCCTCTGCTGTATTTGTAATGTGAACACACAGTAAAATGATAGAGTGACGTAATGTGTTATGGAAGATAGTGTTTCTGACTGTTACATGTTCATACGGGCACAGATAACCACTGCCTCAGTGCCTCACAAAGTTTATATTTTGTGGCTTGCCAGTTAGACAGCCTTTTGAGAATATCACATTAAAACAAAAATGGTAAAAATGTAATGTAAAGGTCACAGTAAACCTTGATGAGACTCTGGATTCACAGTTTTACCATTAAACATATTGCATAAATTAAGTGCATGCTTTTGCATGTGCAAAAGAATGATGACAATATTAAGTATATATACACATAATGTATATTATCTCAGTGGTGAGTAGCTATACATTTAAGCACATCAGCTGATAAGACATATACCTAATTTTTGAAGCAATATTGATGACAGAGCTTTAAATACAAGGGCTAAAGTACATAACTGACAAACCCTGGTGATTTATTCATAGAAACATTTATGGTTAAACTGCTGGAGGAGAGAAAATGACGAGCATCACAGAGATCATAGTTCTTTAATTAAGAAACATTGAGTGATGTTATCAAAATGGGGAAGTAATTATTTAGCATTGCTTTGTACAATGACTAGTCAATAATTCATCACTGTTAATCACATATGGTGCCAACATTTCCATGCATTATTTGAAAATGAACTTTCTTCAGATAGATTTATGAACATACAGAGTCAAAAGGGCCGGTGTTTTTAGTGTAAAGAAATTGCTTTAGTAGCAAAAATGTAGCAATAACGTTATAAGGTAACAAGACAAGTAAAACATTGGTGGGAGAAGAAACTCATGCCACAATTGAAAGAGGTTTTAGTTTGCTAAGCACCAACAGTGTATTAAGATATAAGGATTTTATTCCTAAAAAAGCGTACTACTGTTTCTCGAATTTCTCTTGTTTTCAATCCATAGATGATTGGATTCAGAGTTGGGGGGAAAATTAATGTTGACAACCCCATGAATCTCCTGAAATGTGGTGAAATGTCATTTATTCTATATGATATGATAGTGAAAAGCCCCAGACACTCCAACAGAAGGAAAACTATTAGGTGTGTAGCACACGTCTGCAAAGCTTTGGCTTTTGTGTCTGATCTTTTGGATCTGAAGCATGCAGCAAGGATCTGGAGATATGTATATAAAATCATTCCATTAGCTATGACTTGTGTAAAAGCGACAGTAAAAAGTCCATAAATGTTATTGATGGTTGTGTTGGCACAGGCCAAAGACAACAAAGATGGATTATCACAGTAGGTTATTGTTATTTCATATCGGCAGCGAGGTAAACGCAAAAGCAGACAAAAAAGCACACTAATTAAAACTAAAATACTCATCCATGCAACTGTGATTACTTTCATAATGTGAGCATTAGTCATAACAGTGTTGTATTTCAAAGGGCAACATATGGCAATGTATCTATCGTAGGCCATAGCAGACAGAATAAACACAGAACCTCCTGCATAGATGTGAATAAAAAAAGCTTGAGCAACACAAGCTGAGTACTGTATTGTCCTGCTGTTTGTCAAGATTTCTTTGATAACCTGTGGAAAAAGTGCTGAGGAGCCCATAAGGTCATT